AGATACATTTAAAAGTTCTGTTATAATGCTACTCTGTGCGGTCGTCACCGGTCTAATAAAACGCTTAACATATTAAAGCGTCTTTGGTGTTTTCATGTTTTCTACAAAACAAAACCGGAAATCGAGGGTGTATGACGTCACTGGCAGGCGACACAATGACACTATGGACACTCTCCGTCCCCGTCACTAAAATAGATTATTTCTCTGGATTTAAACATTCTTCGAAACATTTGGGATAATGTAAGTACACAAGTCAGCAAAATATATAACACCGTTCTAGTGGTTTTTGGATATCTTAATAAAAAAATCTTACATATTGTGCCTTTAATTGTCAAAAGATGAGATAGTTTTGATAAGAAATACATATAAAATAAAAGATGTTTAAATAGACTTTTAATGGCTTTCAGATGTTTCACAGATGCAATCCAATAATAGGCCTTAAGCATATATTTCAACAATACTAAACAAACAAACAAAATTTAACTACATGACTAATTACTTTGAACAACCTGTAACTGGGTCAACGATGAAAAGGGGTTTTCAAGCATCAAAACAATAAACGTTTAATACAGCTTAAATTTTATTTGTATGTTAGAATGTCTTGTTTATTTTTTTTCTGAGCAAAAATAATGACTATCACAGTATGGTAAGGGGCGTAACATTTCCGTTACACGCTTGAGGTATTCGGCCAATCACAACGCACCGGATAGCTGGCCAATCAGAGAACACACCACTTTTCAGACCGATGAGCTTTGTAAAAATCGACGCGTTTCAGAAAGGCGGGGCATAGAGGAGAAACAATAATGTACAGTATGTGGAAAATAATGTGTTTTTTTTTTACCTTAAACCGCATAAACACATTTCATTACACCAAATAATGTTCTTTTTAGCAACATCATATGACCCCTTTAAGGGACCTCCATCATACAGTGACTCAACCCACATGTGATTGCAAATATTCAAGACAAACAGAAAACTGACTTTTACATGACTTCCCAAATTATGGTCACACTTTATTTTAAGGTCCAATTCTCACTATTAACAAACCATTAACTACGACTTTTGCCTCAATAAACTCCTAAATTGCTGCTTATTAATAGTTAGTAAGGTAGTTGTTAAGTTTAGTTATTAGGTAGAATTAGGGTTGTAGAATATGGTCATGCAGAATATGTGCTTTATAAGTACTAATAAACAGCCAATATGGTAATAATAGGCATGCTAATAAGCAACTAGTTAATAGTGAAAATCAGTCCCTATACTAAAGTGTTACTCAGATTTTTAAAGAAGTGTATCAGCATTAGTTTTGACTGACTGATTTGCTTTTAACCTTTAGCCTTCAACTTAATTTGAGAAATGAGACGTGTACCCTTGGAATGTCATTGCGTAATGAATATATGATGCTATGTAGGAGTTGTTTGGAATAGAGAATCAGGCCTCTGTCACAAACACCTCTCAACTCAGTTTATAAAAACACGATGTGTGAAATGTGGGGAATTTCAGAAACTACCAAGGCTCTATAGTGGACTCAACAATGTTCATTGTGCAACAAAGCTTTTGGGAAACCCACCTCTGCCTGTTGCTAGGCAACTGCGCAACTGTTCCAACCCACCATTGCAAGGGTAGTGATATTATATAATAGATGCTTTTTTCAAAATTTTAGCAATTTAAAAATATTAAAAAAGGATTTTTTACACGGCACCCCTGCTCTCGACAGACGGCACCCCAGGGTGCCGCGGCACCCCGGTTGGGAAACACTGGATTAGACCACAGCCCTTCCAGAATGATAGCACACACTTGTCACAGTATATCAAAAAGTTGTACCCGCTCATAAAAATAGCAGTTTCGATAAAAAATAATAATGATATCTATGAAATTCAAGTATGTACCTAAAAATGATCCAGTGTGGCATGTGTTTTCAACAATGTAATAAAAATAAATTAAAAAAACAGCTTTTCAGAATATTTAAAGGAACAGTTCACCCAAAAATTGAAAATTGCTGAAAATGTACTCACCCTCAGGCCATCCAAAATGTAAATGAGTTTGCTTTTTCATCAGAACAGATTTGGAGAAATTTAGCATCACATCACTTGCTCTACAGTGGATCCTCTTAAGTGAATGGGTGCCGTCAGAATGAGAGACCAAACAGCTGATAAAAACATCACAATAATCCACAAGTAATCCACACAAACTCCAGTCCATCAGTTAACAACTCGTGAAGTGAAAAGCTGCATGTTTGTTAGAAACAAATACATCATTAAGCCGTCACTTCATTTCTCTCCTGACTCAGACGAGACGACCTTTTCACTGGAGAAAGCAATATTATGGATTATGGAATCATTTTAGACGGAAGCAATAGTTTGAAATTAAAAATGTCTTAACAATAGATTTATTTATTACAAACAGGTATCTTTTCACTTCACAAGACATTAATTGATGGACTGGAGTGGTGTGGATTATTGTGATGTTTTTATCAGCTGTTTGGACTCTCATTCTGACGGCACCCATTCACTGCAGAGGATCCACTGGTGAGCAAGTGATGTAATGCTACATTTTTCCAAATCTGTTTAGATGAAGAAACAAACTCATCTACATATTGGATGGCCTGAGGGTGAGTAAATTTTCAGCAAATTTTCATTTTTTTGGGGTGGAAATTATATTTCTGTCATCATTTACTCACCCTTATGTTTTTCCTAATTCTTATGACTTTCTTTTTAACTGGAAACACAAAAGAGATTTCAAAGAATTTCAAAGCACATTATTGACAAGGATTATCAGGGGAAAATTATTTAAGCTATCATATTCACTTCAAAAGACTTCCAATATAGCACTCAAATCACATGGACTACTTTTATATCCTGCTTTGCATCGTTTTTGGAAAAGGAACGTTTTTGATTGTGTTTTTCAAAAGAAAGAAAATCATACAGGTTTGGAATGACATGAGGGTGAGTAAATGAATTAAAAATGCGTCATTTCTCTGCACATTGCAAAGCTGCATCAGTGACTCTGTTTTCAAATGACTAGGTTTCAAAATATTCATCATTCAACTCCATCAATCAGGTAGATTTGAACAGCTAATGTTTTATTTACTGTTTTGATCAAAATCAACCAAAAACCAATGTGCCTTGACCCACACCTGCGTTATAATTTACATAATTACAACTTTCAGCCCATTGCACATGCAATGTTCATAAATAGAATTACACTTTTTTGTCTTTGAAATAACACAGAAGATGTTTTTCTGCAAATTTAGTGGCATGAGGCAACAACAACAATACAAGAACTCGAGTGAACTCAAATCTCTTGTGAGGACAGATAGCAATCCGATTAGGATTGCCACAGGTTTCCTTGGAGTGAAAAACACTTTGATTAGGGAAGCCCATGCCAGAGCACAACGCGTTGCCAGATGCTGTGCTGTGAGCTCTTTTGACAATATTTGTGGCACAATCCGGATTAAAACAAAATATATATTTAAAAAATTAACTGCTTCATGTTAAATAGCAATACTTTGTACATGGAAAACAATAGCCTTATACTAATGTCACACATAATGTCTTGAGGCCAATCATTTGAAATGAAACTATGTGTATTTTAATGTTTATCTCCTGTTCTGTACTGCTAAATGCTTTAAAAAAACAAACACAAAATATTCAGTTGTACTGAAACCAGACCATTTATTTACATAGTATACAAACTTTATTTTAATTTAAATACGCTTTAAAATAACTGTAACTTAAACATTAAAACCAGTGTTATTTTAGTATTATAACATTATTTTATTTATATACTATTAAAATATTTATTAATATTTTGAATTAGCTTTTTTCAATTTTCCTTTTAATTTCAGTTTAAGTTTGAGTAATTTTACGTGCTTTTATTATTTTAATTATTTTTCATATTTCTACATTTTTTTTAAGATAATGTCTTTTACTTCAGTTTTATTAATTGTAGAATTATTTATTTCAGTTAGTTGCCGAGGCAAATTCAATTTTTTCATCTTATATTTTTACTTTGTGACTGGAGCTTTATTTCAGTTAACAAAATTGATTTGTAATAGTTTTAGTTTAACAATAACAACACTAATTAACACTAACATTTATATTTCTCTATTATTTCAAACACTTTCTTCTCATCTCAAACCACATAAATTCACTGAAGACATCCTAAGGGATCTCCAAAAAAAAAAAAAGGCTATGCTAGCTCTACTCTAAATGAGTCATTCTCTGATGTTGTTTACTTCTGAATATGTGTACTAACTTTATTGCAAAATATTAAATAAATAAAAACAGTCAATGTTTGTCTAATATTTTATAACTGTCATCCAGTCCCCACACAGAACTAGTCAAAACACTGTTTTCCACTTTGGGGAACAGACGCATATATACATTCCTGGACAAGGAGTAACTATAGAAGAGAGATGAATGAAGTTTTCTTCAAAAAGAGCTAATTAATCACTTTCCTGTGCTAACTTTCTCTTTGTGAGCCCTTTTATAGAGGGATTAAACTGACATAGTCAAGACAGAAAGTGCAAATCGCTGCTCAGAAAGATAGAGATAACATATCCATACTTCTCTTTCTGTCCTACAGTGAGATAACGGATGTACAGAGAAGAGTTGAATCCTGTTTCAACTCCCTCTCACGTGGCAATCATATCTGATGACCATGTGCTCAGGGGTTTGCCAATGCATTATGACAGTAAGAAACAGATTCTATGTACAACTATGGTGTTGAATTTTACAGATTTAATTTTAAAGACCAAATATTTTTCCATATAAAGTATTGCTGCTTACTTAAATGTCTGTTCATTAACGGTCTGCTATTTACATCATTGCTACTTTGTTCCAAAATTATTTAAAGAAATATTTAAAGGGGATGTCTAATGCTATTTAATGCATTCTGACTTATCTACAGTGTTAAAGTCTCACATGCTAAACATGACCAAAGTCATACCAAATGACAGAGTATTTCTGTGCCAAATACAAACTCCTTCAGGGTTAGTATACATTTCAGAACGTTTTTTTTTTAGTATGGCCCTGTATGACATCATAAAGGGTGGAATTCCGTGTATGGGCTCTTCTCCCGGAAGAGTGCGTGTGCACACAACCACAGCGAGAGCAAGAGCAGCCCATCAACGTGCTTCATTCGGGTCACGGATGTCATCGGCAGCGCTGCACAGGACTTGCTTGAGAAGGATGTCACCAAAGAAGTGTGTTTCTGGTTGTGAGGGAAAGATAAACTTGTTCAGCTTCCCAAAGAACCCAGCGTTAAGGGAATTATTTATGTCGATGTCTCTTTAGCTCTCTTTAGCGTTGACTCTTTAGCTCCGCCCGCGGCACGCCTCCAGGAACTCGACTGTTTTCGGTGAAAAGCGGTAGCTGATGACGTATCCTGTCTGCGCAAACCGGGTGCGCAGAGGTATGGAGATACATACATTGACAGGCAGGTAGGAAAGCCAGTTAAAACGTTCAGACCGAGCGTTTTGATTGGACGAACATTTCTTGGTCCTACGCCTTCCACAGAATATATAAATACAGAAATACATTTAGACCATTTAACTTAATGATTGCTATCGGGATGTGAAGAGACTTTCAACCAGCATAACAAAAAATGTTCCGCCCGCGGCACGCCTCCAGGAACTCGACTGTTTTCGGTGAAAAGCGGTACAGCTGTATCTTTCTTTTATAAATCTGATCAAACTAAAGACTCTTCAGCGATATGAAGGATGCAGTACTACTCTATAGGTACTCAAGCAAAAAATGTTTCTGAAGACAATCACCTATTGCACCTTTAACATGAGATTGGCAGAAACTGTGTGCGTTATGTCCGCTTTAAAGTCCTGCCAGCATTTACTCACTTTTATGTCATTCCGATCCATATAATTTATAAAGATGAGCAGAATGTTTACACTTCTCATTTCCATATAGTTTCAGTAAATGTGGACATTTTTTTTTTTCAAACAAGTTTGAAATGACATGTTCTGAGTCAATGATTGTATAATAAAATCATGACATCCCACACCAACAAATCACAAAGTGTTCGGATCACATTCTGCCATCGACTTCAAATGCCCTTTGCTGTCCCTTTGTTGTCCTGGGATTTTTACTGATATTGAACCTCTGTGTTTAATCCCTGTGCACCTTCCCTTTAAAAGTCCCGGGAGCTTGAAAGGGCTCGCAGGATCTCTATCATCTGAAGGCAGGGTGCTTCTAATACACGCTGAAGCCCTGTTTGATGTATGAAGGTGCAGTTGCACTTCAAAGCTGTAATGTGTTCTCACAGTTCTCATATAGAGATGTTATTGAAAGAAAAAGACATGAAAATGCATGTGTGGGGTTAAAGAACTGTCAAGCAGTCAACACAAACTGCTTTCTTTCTCTCAAACACACTTGCAAACAAATTATGCAAGGAAGACTTGCATATAATCCATTATGTATGCAATGGCTCACTCATTAGTTTTTCATTTTAAGTTATTCATATATTATGAATAGACAGACCGACTGATCGGTGCGGATGGATGGATGGATAGAGCATTCATTCATTCCAACAATACTTTTAATGACTCCACTCCCACACTTGGCAATTCCCGTCAGCTATATTCCATAATCTCTCATTTCCCCCAGTGGAGATCATCAGCGGCGTCCGTCCCCCTTCCACAACAGGCTTCCCTCAAACGAGCTCTTTATCTAAAACTCTTAAAAATCAATTTCTTCAGAGACAATCTTGAACTTTGTGGGTTGACAATGAGAACGTGTCTTTATACTAGCGTGTCTATGTGCGTCTATGCCTGTGTGTGCATGGCCTCCGGACTATTTTTAAACATTTGTGGCAGGCTTAATCCATCTTGTGTGGTGAGAGGGCCCAGCAGATCTGAATATTACACTAACCATATTTTAACAAGACTCTGGAGTATTCACATAAGCATTAAATACAGTGTTGGGCCGCTGTGTTGGAGGGTGGTTACTCTTGTTTTGCATTCTGATCCTGTAAACCTCCAGAGGAGGCTAAATCACACAAGGTTTTGGGGTTGTGGGAAAGCAGTTGCGTTTGCCTCCCGGTCACCTGAATAAAGGCATCTAAAAATGGGAGTTAAGCAGTGAAATCCATCCCTATTCTTATCATGTTTCACTCTTATGCTTCATCATGTTTGAAAACATAAGGTCAGTGATGATAAAAGACTATCTAATCAAAGCAATTTTCCAGATTCCACTGTAAAATAAAGATAAAAAGATTAAGGGGTGAATTCATTGAGGAAGGATTGTGTCTGCTGATGGCTCTGTTTATTTGCAAGCACTGTCTGCATTGTTTTATTGTCTGATTCACTAAAGGAATTATGCAAATCAAGTAACGGCATAACACGGCACAAAATCTGCACCAAACGCAATTTGCATGGCACAATTTCTACATAAAATGGTCCACAGTCAGAGCCAGAGTGCAGAGGTTAACATGTTCATGAACATCACAGTCTCTCCAGAATTTCCGGTCACTCTCCACTATATAATTAAATAAAAAAGAGGCAAAAGTCACAAAAATGAAAGCATAAAAGCTGCAAACGTTTTTAGTGGTGTTTCATAAGGAAAAAAGAAAGAAAACTCATAAACTTTCATTGAAGGACAGACCTAGTTATATCTAGTGATGAAAATATAACATGTTGTGGGTCAGCATTTACAACCTAGCAACTGTATAACAACACTCTCCAGCATCTAGTGTTGGGAGTAACGCATTACAAGTAACGCAAGTTACATAATCAGATTACTTTTTTCGAGTAACTAGTAAAGTAACGCATTACTATTTAATTTACACAAAAATATCTGAGTTACTTTTTCAAATAAGTAATGCCAGTTACTTTGTTGCCAGTTACTTACTACTTAATGAAAGTGCTTTTACATTTGCCAAAAATAGAACTTTTATATTAAAAACAAACAAGTAAGCCCAGCCCAGATGAGAAAAAGTAACATTACTTTCCATGAAAAGCAATGCAAGTAGTCACTTTTTTAGAGAGTAACACAATATTGTAATGCATTACTTTTAAAAGTAACTTTCCCCAACACTGCGAGCATCATAACAGTCACTTCTGCTTGGCAATCAATTAACACTCATATGTTCTTCAGCCACTAGCAGTACCAAACCTTTATGCACTTGTTTCCAACCGGGTTTCATGCTACAAACTAAAGATCACTTCAGAATGCAGAATTGAAACTGTAAGACAGAAATCATAGCGAAATGGTGAAGACTCAATATTTAGATTTTTTTTTGCACCCTCAGATTCCAGATTTTCAAATAGTTGTATCTCGGCCAAATATTGTCCTAACAAATCACACATCAATGGAAAGCTTATTTATTCCGCTTTCAGATGATGTATAAATCTCAATTTCGAAAAACTGACCCTTATGACTGGTTTTGTGGTCCAGGGTCACATATATAAAAAATGAATGACACAATGAGTAGCATTGACTGTTCAGTGACAAACTGTATCTTAATAAAATAAAGTAAAATACACAAGCCTTGTACACTAAATTCCCAGTACCCTGAAGCAAAACAATAGATTTGTGGAACAGACCAAAATGTGTGTGGTTATCTATTAAAATTCTTACCCTCCTCTCCAAACAACATTTTTGCATAAATAATAAATATACAAAAATGTATAAATAAACAAACAAACAAATACAAACTTGAAATGACATAATAGTTTTCATATGTGAGTGAATTATTCCTTTAACTCATGAAATGTGTGTGTACATGATTGAGATAAAACATTAAATAATGTAACTTTTGCAATATCTACTCTAATTTGCTTTTTTGAAAAAGTGTCCACTGCCTAGACAGGATGACTTGAGCCTCGTGGTTTCATAGAAACATGAAATTTGGCTTCAATTAAATGAGATTCTCTTTTGTCGGTTCTCATCCTGATAATTGCAACTCAAGGCGGAAGGCAGATGTCTGCAGTCATTGTCAAACATTCACAAAGGAACGCTGATTTGCTGTCTGAAAAACTGCTCCCAAAAATCTATCACGAGATTTGAAAGAGAGGAGAGAGAATGATAAAAGCTCCATGAGTCCACAGACATCTCATTTGTTACTTTCCCCTCTTTGGCATCTTCTGATTCAGCGTACTCTGAGCCCTCAGCCTGCTTACATTTTTAGAGCTGGCTCTGTAAATCCTGATCCAAAATTTATATCACAACTTCGTCTCTGCTCCTACTGTGATTTGAGAGAGCCGTATTTGACCTATATGAACTTACGCCCCCATAACGCCTACCCTCTGAGTTGAGCCCTACATTACAAGAACCAATGTGAATCACAAAGCTCATGCAGACAAACCGCTCCTCTGGATAAGCCCCTAAAGCGCCGATCACGCTGCCAGTCAGGATTTCAGCTGACATACTAACATTCTGTAGAAATACTCAAAAACATAACGTTAAACACTTCGCGTGTTATTCAGATTGTTGGTGTTTCTCAAAGGCTTTTGTCGAATTTTAATCAAAATAGTGAATCAAAGAAATGCTCTGGGTTCAATAAAAATAAAGCTCCACACTACAGAAAAAAAAAGAAATAGATTTGAAATGTTTACAATAATGCATTTACGTCCACTGTAAGTGCATTACTGTACACTTAATTTTTGTTTTACAAGCTGAAGAATTAAAGGGTTAGTTCACCCAAAAATGAAATTAGGCTGTGTTTTACTCATCCCAGAGCCATCCTAGGTGTATATGACTTTCTTCTTTCAGACGAATCCAGTCGGAGTTATATTAAAAATTGTCTTTGATCTTTCAAGTTGTTTAATGCCACTCAGCGGGTGTTTGCATGCATCATTCCAAAAGAAGTTAAATAAAAAGCGCCCATCCATTAAAAAAAGTGTCTAACACGGCTCCAAGGGGTGAACAAATGCCTCCTGTAGTGAATCGATGCGTTTTTGTAAGAAAAATATCCATATTCAAAACGTAATAATCACTTTAATGTAGCTTGCGCCAACAGTTGTACACGGAAGCAGTTCTGGGCTGATGACGTATGGGGTCAGCGCTGCGCATGCGCCGGTGAGTCACGTGAAAACCAACGTTTGTTTACAGGATCAAAAGAAGCAAAGTTTCCTTACTTTAGCAAAAGGAAAACCAGTCTCCTCTTGGCGTATATCGAAATCCTCTGAAATTCTTCTTTACAAATCCTCATTTTGTACTTCTAACTAGTGACCTTTGTTTTGATCTCTCCCCTGCGCTTCCG